CAACTTTAATAATTTTAACAACATGCAAACAACTTAATTAAACAACTATAGTCATTACAATATCAACTTAATACAACTTAACAACTTTATAAACAACTTCAACAATATACAACATATTTAAAATTCATCTATCATGTCAACTTACACAATATAAATAGCATAAATCAACTTAAGCACCCAACAACTCAACTATTTCAACAAAAGAACATCATGCATAAAACTTCCCTAACTCTCATGAAATTAAACAACTTACATTCTAGCTTCCCTCACCTGAAGATTGGCTCAGAATAGCCAAGAAGCAGAATTCCCTTTCCGAAGCTCAACCCGGAACTTCAATCCACCCAAAGCAAGCTTCTTAGTCCAGAGTCATTCTCTCTAAAACTTCTCTCTAAAAACCTCCTCTTCTCCTCAACCACCCAACTCTATTTATAGAAGTTCAGGAGTGGCCAGAACGGTCTGTTCCGAATCTGGAACAGCCTATTCTGCACCCCTTCACCAAGTACAAAATTTACATGCAGAATGACCCATTTTGAAATCAGAACAGCTTGTTCTGGGACTCATCCAAAACGTCTCGTTCTCCATCCGGAACGGCCCGTACTCCCTCCGGAACGGCCCGTTCTCAACTACATTTTATAGGTTAATTCAATAGTTTGTTTTTATGCTAGCTTGTGGAGCTGTATCTTGGAGCAGCATAAAGCAGACCTTGATTGCTACTTCTACTATGGAGGCTGAGTTCGTTTCTTATTTTGAGGCTACCTCACATGGTGTATGGTTGAAGAGTTTTATATCTAGGCCTAGAGTTGTGGACTCAATTGCTAAGCCATTGAAGTTGTATTGTGATAACTCTGTTGCTGTTTTTATGGCTAAGAATAATAAAAGTGGAAGTCGAAGTAAGCATATCAACATTAAATATCTATCCATAAGAGAACGTGTTAAAGTTAAGGAAAAGAAAGTTGTCATTGAGCACGTTAGCACTGAGTTAATGATTGCTGATCCTTTAACTAAAGGCATGCCACCAAAGAATTTTAAGGATCATGTAACTCGAATGGGACTTGGTTCCATGATGTGACAATCATTGTAATTACTTGTTAAAACTCTTATTTAGTTTGATGTTTTCTCATTTATCTTGTGCACATACCTATTTACTTTGAGAAAACTCATTAATTGTGACCTGGAATAAACGTATGGTTTATTCATTAGAGCTAAGAGCTTAGGATGAGAGACTTAATATATTGTGATACATGGGAGATAATACTCATTATCAGAGGATCTATCACCATGATTCATATATTTGGTTTCCTATTTGATTGATAATTGGATAAATGGACCAAGTGGGAGAATGTTGGCATATACGTCGTTTTGAAAATTTGTTTTTGCAACAGTAGCACATTTGCAACAACCGCGTAAAAGGAAACAACGTGCTTCCGATTTTCACGTTGCGTTCCTGATTCTTCTACTTGTTGCGGTTAACATATCATGAATGTGGTCCATTTTTCAACCCATTATCAAATAACTTGCAGATATGGTACCATGATTCCCGCACATTTTCTCCAACGTTCAAAGAGGCTCTACGATGGATTAGAGTTCTATAAATTGGACGCGTATCTCTATTTTTGGGTCACTGAGCCTACTCTCCTCTTCAGTATACTACACCATCGCGTATTGACAGCAAGGGTTCAGAAACCTGAAGAAACAAGCAAACAACAATGGCTCGAGGTTGGTCCTTTAATTTTCGCAATTATGAGAATGATCTGAACGTGTTTGTTTTTTATTTTTGCCATGTTTAGATCTTTAGAATATTAGTTCTTCATTTTTAACCGTAGAGAGAGAACATGTGGATGTAGAACAGCCACACTCACATTAATTTCCAAGTCAATTGCGCAAAATGTGATATTTAACGAAGGATTTTAATAGAGACATTCATATGTAATTTACTTAAATGAATTATGCAACAAGTTGCAACAAAAAGAGACATTGTGTTATTTTCTTCTAAGGGATTTTGGTTTAAGCCAAAGCTTTGGAATGAATCTTTCCTGGTAGATATTTCCTGACATAATTTAAGTATGAAATGCAATGTCCATTTTTTATCGACTAGTAGTTGCAAGATAAAACATTTTTTTAGTTGCATGATCATGTCATCTTTTCGACTGTTGTCTTTTCCTTCTTCTTTTTTGTAATTCCTATATGGTGTCTAAGATTAGAAACAACAAAATTGAAGAATTGCACGTGCAGGTCAATCACTAGCATCAACATAATCTAACTATGAAAAAGAGAGAAAGAAGGATGTATAGAAATGTTTGCTTGTTTGGGAAGCTGCTTAACAGTGAAGAGATTTGACTTAGAAAACGTCTGCATAAAGCTTCACAAAGTCACTCGAATTTTGGTGGTTTAAAAAATTGGTGGTTTGCATGAAACTCGTCAGCCTGGTTGACATTTTCCACCCCACCACAAAAGCACATGCACACAACATCACGACACATGGAGCACATGCAGAGAGAGCAAACAATGAGAGGTGTACACAAAACGTCAAAACTATTAGCATTTTATGTTCAAATTTTTTTTTGCATGGATAGCGTCAATATAATTGACGTCTTCTATTATACATCTGACTTGTCACTAGCGTTAACGTTTTTTTCTAATCTACCTCTTTCTTATGTGTCCAAAATAATTTATTTTAGTAAATAATTTTTATAAAAATTTATTTCAGTAATTTTTATTTATTATGGCCAAAAGGCCCTATCGTGTTGCCAAGCTAACAAGATAGAAAGAGAAAGTGTACCATTTAAAAATAAATAAATAAAAAGTGGTACCATCTATTCTTTCATGCGAGCGAATTTCAACCGGAATATATTGGCACATTGAGAAGTGGTCAAAAAAGTAAAACTATAGGTTTATTATTTCAACCTAAGGCCCTAATTTACCAATTTCCAGTACCTGATGCCATTCACAATCTGAAACTGAAAGTTCAAATAAATGAATAAATTATAGTTTGCATCCATTAAATTCATTTCTAGGCAAAGATTTTTTTATATTTTATTTTATAAGGAGATATAACTCTTTATGTCCAAGCAATTCTCAGTTAAAGAGGAAGAATGTCTAACTACTTGTTCTATCTTTGATTTTTTGGGCAAAGAGTCATTAACAAGTAACAAGTTTTGTCCATTAAATCATGCAGAATGCTAAAAATGATGAAGAAAAAATTAACTACTGGCTTGTCATTGGAGGTCATTCCAAAAACTCAACCAAAATCAACAAAATACATGTTGATTAACCAAAATCATATTTGTGGCATGTCATTGCAAAGTTGAATTCCTGAGGTTGCATATTTGCTAGAACACTAATTTACAGACCCACAAAAGGGGGCTAAAACACTTGCCAAACGTTGTTAGGATAGCATCTTGGAATTGAATTACTTGAGCCATTTAATGATCTGAATGTGACTCATAAAAATCACTTGGGCAAGGAGACATAACCTCTTGTTCCAGTATCTGCAATACTTGGTTCATTGATGGACGTTCATCCGCATTTGCATCAGTGCAACTTGCTGCTAGTTCAAGAATTACTTCAACAGATTCCCAATCTGCATCGGTGCATTTTTTGTCTACTACGTCTACCAATTTATTTTCTCTTAGGAACGTGTTCATCTGCAAATAATTGCCCCCACTTCATTAGTTTTGCAACATGAGGAAACAGAAGTTCAGGTGACTTGTGCACTGAATGAGGAGAAGCTTACCCAACCAACAACATTTACACCTCTCCTTGCAAAGGAAGGATCTGTAGGTCTCTTTCCAGTTACAAGTTCTAGCAGTAGAACTCCAAAACTATACACATCTGACTTCTCAGTGGCTCTCCCACTTTGTAAATACTCTGATATTGACATATATAAGTAATAAATAACCAACCATCGATTATTTTTCATGAAACTGACTCAATATAGAATAGTATATATATCACACGGTCACACTATATAAAACATGTTACAAAAGGAAGGCTAGTAGGCTAGGCTAAACAGGTATGAAATCCAGCTTAACTTTGTTCATTTTCAGAGTCTGTTGGGTAAACTTTCAAAAATACTTCTAAAAGAGAAAAATAGGATGAAAAATGAAATAAACTTCTTCATAAGCTAATCAACTTATACGTAAACTAATTTGTAAGAACTCTTTATTGTTAGCTTCTCCAAGATCTAACTTTTATCTTATGTATAAGCTAATTTTAGTTTATGAAGAAGCTTATTTTGATTTTTCTTCTTATTTTTTTCTTCTAGAAGTACTTTTGAAGAAGTTTATCATAACAAATCCTTAGAATGGTACTTATTGAATATTTCAACAACATTTTTTACATGATCATTTCACTTGCAAATTGATATCTAGGAAATTTAACTCTCAAAGACATCATCAAGTATCAAGGTCTATGTTACACCATAAAAAGGTGACCAGAATCCAGATAACTGCTGGATTGTGGAATTAAATACATACCTGGTGCCAAATAACCAAATGTGCCAGCCACCACTGTCGTAACATGAGCATCATCATCTACCAAAAGCTTAGCAAGACCAAAATCAGAGACACGAGGCTCCATGTTCTCATCAAGAAGGATGTTGCTGGATTTTATGTCACGATGCACAATTTTTGGGCTACAGTCATGGTGCAAGTAAGCCAAACCCCGAGCAGATCCAAGGGCTATCTTTAGGCGAGTACTCCAGTTCAGTGATTGTTCGGCTTTTTCTAAAGCACAAAGGATATATCATCATGAAATCATAATAAGCCAAAGGATAGATAGTGTATATAAACTTTTTTTAGAAGTACTTCTAAGAGAGACAAATAAGAAGGAAACATTAAATAAGTTTCTTTATAAACTAAAACTAAAATCACCTTATGCACAAGTTAAACATAAGTTTGCAAAGAAACTATATGAAAGAGCTTTTACAAATTAGTTTATGCTTAAAATAATTTAAGCATATGGAGACGGTTATTTCATTTTTTTTCTTATTTTTCTCTCTTAGAAGTATTTCTGCCTTCTAGAGAAATTTATCTAAACAAGCTTAAAATGAATCATACCATGCAAGAGATCATCTAAGCTTCCCATGGCCAAATAATCATAGATTAGAAGCTTAGTAGAAGGGAGTCTGCAGTAACCACGCAGGTTAACTAGATTAATGTGCTTGATGCTACCCAATATTTCTAGTTCTCTTTCAAACCCTCGATCAGAACCTTCACGACTTCTATCAATCCGCTTAACAGCAAATGTACCACAATCATTCATCACCATCCGGTAAACAGTACCAAATCCTCCAGACCCTACCACGTCATCTTCATCGAGAGATTCCAACTTTTCTATGATCTCAAATGATGTGTATGGCAGATCACCATGGAAGGTGATAAGTTTTGTACCTGTTATAAGATCGGGTTAGTATTGATAAAGAAATAAAAGATATTAATGTTATTTTCTTTTTCTGCATCTGAACAATGAGTGTCAAATTTCAAATACCATCATCCTTCCTGCTAGATTCTGAATTGACTTGATCCTTAACTTCTACGTATCTCCTAGCAGCTCTTTCCTTCTTTGATAGCAAACAAATCCATAGTAATGAAAGAGTTACTACAAGTGCAAGACCCATAATTGATATTGCACCAACTAGCAGCCACTTCACGTAGTGTGAAGATCTTTTGGCAGGGACTGCTTCAAACAAATTCAATGAGTGATTGATCAATATGTAAATTTGGTTATAAAATCTACCAAGTCAAAATTTATTTAAAAATAGCAGGTTTTCAACTCTTAATATAACATCCTCATGCTTACTATAAATGAAGAAAATATTGAAAGCTTTCATATGTTCAACATTTTATATGCATTTGCTTTTTACATTTTATATTTTCCTTATAAAGAATTAGGAGAAGGTTTTTTTTTATCCGTAATAATTATAACGATAGCACCAAAGTTTGAAACCAAGATCTTGTTCGAAATAGGAGAATATGAAGATATTGTAGGAGAATGTAGCATTATTACTAAAATATAAATCATCAGAATTGACTTGCCTGCAGCTTCATCACTTTCAGCATGTGGTAGCACCACTGGGAAACCAAGTGATGTCCGACATGGTTTCTGAACTTGCCTCCCACAAAGATCTAAATTCCCAATAAACCTATTCATATGCAGTGAACGTATAAATTAAAGCATAAACACAGACAATGAAACCAACCTTCCACCACTCGGTGCAAGGATCAAATAGGTTCACAACATAAGAACTGGATGAAAAGAAGGTTAACAGAAAATGAATGTTTACCCCTATGAAATCAAAAGTGGAAAGTTATTATTAGAAAATGCAACATTTAATGTTACCTAAATATTCCTACTAATTTCCAGTAAAAGCTTTCTATTTATTCATACCTTAATCATTGGCCTAAGGGGAATGAATAACAAAAACGTCATTAAATTATCTGATTGGTTAAATATTGTTTGGTCTATACTATAAAGGGTAAAATGTAGCAGCCAAGACACATCATTATTAGGCAAGTGTGCTTACGCGTTGTTCCCAAAGGTGCTTAGCACTCCAATGTCAGGGATTTCACCGGAAAAGAAATTAGTTGACAAGTTCCTAAGACAAGCAGATTATCATATACTTAATCCCAAAGCTATGGTTATCAATATCATTATGTCAAAGAAAACAGAGCTATTGGTTGAATGAACCTACAGAACTCGCAATTGTGAAAGACGGCCTATAGAAGAAGGTATAGCACCCTTCAATGAGTTGCTCGATAAATCCCTGTATTTGAATTTTCTATTAAAATCTTTAAAACAAGGGTTAAAATGTAGTTGAACAATAAAACCATGGAAATAAGAAAATAGTGACAAAATTATGGGAAACAATCAAAGAAATGAAAAAGAGGGCCTTACATTACATGTAAATAAGAAAGATTTCCAATATCTGATGGGATGCCTCCTTGTAAATAATTAGCTCTCAAGTACCTATTCATTTGAATCACATGAAGCATGTGCACAAGTTACAATCAAAGGGATATTCACATATAAATTTCTAACAAAGTACTAGACCAATTTACACTTACAGTGCTCTAAGCTCAGTACAATTGCTAATTTCACTGGGAATAACTCCATTTAAGCCATTTTGATGAAGTGCCCTGATTCATTGCAAACACAAGAAAGAGATGTTACATCTCTCCACTTTGAGAAGTGAGCGAATCGGGGAGAAACATGATACTTGTACTACTTAGTACTTACAGTCTATGCAGTCTATTGAGTTTGCCAATGCTAGGAGATATAATTCCCCCCAGTTGCATGTAAGGTAGATTTCTGAAGCACACAAGCGTGACAAGGCAAACACAGGTGTCATACACTCAAACTCGGGAGGAAAAATGAGAAAAATTTGTGCCTTTTAGTTTGAATGATGATTTTTTTTCTTCTCAAACCAAGTATAGTATATCAGAGACAATGAATAATGTGTGCTGCTTACATACATTGAGCGAACTCGTTGTTCCCCAGGATGACAAGTGATACCAGTCCATGTACAGTGAGACTCATCAGATTCTCGCCAGTTTCTCAGAAAATTCCTTGTGTCATTCAAAGCGCTTTTGATCTCCAACAATGTCAATCCTAATAGATGAATAAAAAATCAGATTTTTGAAAAACTGCATTATTTTATCCTATCTTTAAAGAACAAATTAAGAGAGTGAAAGATGAGAACAAAACCGAAAACTACCCAAAATGCAATCATCCACCTCCAAACTATATAAAATGAAAATAAACTATACCCAATGTCCCAATGGCAACCAAAGGTAGAAGATGTATAAAGGAAAATAAGTAAATAACAAAAGAAGCACCAAATAGAAGAGGGTAGCTATAACCCAGGAAGAGAAAAAAGGGGTTCATGATTCATATATAGTTTTTACCATCTTGAGTTAGAGCATGAGAAGAAGGGCATAAAACAGTGGTGGAAATCACCAGCAACATCCACACTACATGACCCATTTTCATTCCAGCCTTCAAAAGGGACTCTTTTGGTTACAACTTATTTGGGTTGAAGTGGAATCACTCTCACTGTGAGTGAGAAAGTGTCAACAGTGATGATGATCGCTGTTGGTGGAGTTGTGATGACAATATGGACCTCAAAGGGTCACCATGATTAAACTTTAAACCAGCAAAACTAATAATTCGAACTTTTAAAGCATGAAGAGAGAGAGAGAGAGAGTAGAGGAATGCTTCTTTTTCACTCCAATAAATTAATATTTACGTGAAAAGAGTGAAACTAAAATGCAGTGTTTTTGAAAGATGGCATAAAAAGTGATGCAGAGTGAAGTAGCCGTTCTACAATGCAAAATTCAAAACATGAAAGACGAAACTTTTCTGGTTTATATCACACTCTCGTGCGAGTGGCGGTGAAGTAGAATTCTCGCCAACAATATCACGGCCACGTCAGCAACTGGGAACGTGAACTCAAATTTGTGTACACGTGTCTTGTAAAGGTGGAGAGTAGGAAGATTATAAACATGAGCGCGTTGTTGGAATTTTAACACAACCTCCGTATTTTTGGGGCAGCGGCGTATAATGTCCGAAATACGGGGTTGTTTGCTTTGTGTTGTGATTGGCATTGCTGATGGCAGCATCGAACATGGAGCATCGTTTTGGTGATACCACAGCGTAGATGTGACCCATCACTGTGAAAACTTTAAAACACTTATAGTGTGTTTGGATGAGGAATTTTACAAATTCAAGGAATTTTAAATTCTTGGTATTTGAATTACTTTGATTTCAATTTCTATTATTCTTAAAATATTTTGTCTGGACGAGACAATTCAAATTTCTTAAATTTTAAATTGTTAGGTTGAATATGATAATTTTATTCCATCATAGTAAAATTGATTTTAAAAATATATTTATATGTTGAGATTTTTAAATTAAATTTTATAAAAATAAATATTAATCCATTTTTAAATATTTATTAATTTTAAAAATTAATATTAGATAATATTTAATAATTTTAGCAATTAATATTAGATAATGTTTAACAATTTTAAAAATATTTTTGAATATCTAATAATTAAAAAAATGAAGAGATAAGATAAAATATATAGGTGAAATAAGAAAAACAAATATGAGGAATTTCAAATTCTCCCATTTTTGGGAGAATTTGAAACTCTACTATTTTAAGAAATTTCACAAATGATTGGATTTCAAATTTTTTGTAAATTCCTCATCCAAACAAAGCATTTCACCTCAAAGAATTTGAAATTCTTCAAATAAATGAATTACCTCATATAAATTCTTTATCCAAACACACCATTAAAGTGTATACAAATGGATTCCTTATAAACAACTTCCTTTATCATGTACTGCATTACTGTTACATTAAACTTATTTTATGGATTATTTAAATTTTAATAAAGTTATTTTTATAAATAATTTTGCTTAAATTTAAATAACTCATAAAATAAGACAGAGTTGATATAATAGTAATATAGTACAGAAAATTACTTATAAATAACCCCATTGAAAATATTTAATACAACGATAACTAGATGCAAGAGACTGTCATGTATTATGTGTTCAATTCAAGAAGATTCAAATATGTATTAAATTTTTATCAAAAAGGTATTAGACTCAAAAAGTAAATTAAATTTCTAATTATCCTAACCTAGAAGTTGCTTTCTTTTGCTAATCAAACTTTTATATTAGAAGCAGACTTAACTATTTTTCTGAGTATAGCACGTGCTAAAATGGGTATTATATGATGAGTTGCCACAAATAACCTGAGTTGCCATTGTTCCTCCTTCTTCCTCCCTTGTGTCCTTCTTCCTGTTCCTCCACCTTCTCCGCTCCCACCCACTCATGCCTTTCACCCCTTTACCCTCTTCAACCATCCTACACCTTAGTCATACTCAAGCCATTCAACACAGGATTTATTATCCCTTTATGGACAAATAATATATTACCTCTATAAACCAAGGAGTCATGTTTTGTGATAAGCTTTCACTGTTTTCTGTTATTTCAACATGCATAGATTTGTTTTATAATCCATGTTGAATGAAAGAAGGAATCATTGGCAATCACCATCATGAAGCTAAATGAAATATAATCTCAAACACAACAACATAAATGTGCGATGAAGTGAGAAGAAAAAAAACCGAATCCAAGAACTTCCATAATATTTGAAGGCCGTAAATTTTAACGGAACACAACAAAATTTGTAAACCTAGAAGGGAGTTGCTATGATACCCTCAAAGATGAAGGGGTTTCAGTATATTCTTTTATGTAAACTTATAAAAATTAAAAAAAAAAACTAATTTAATTATAAAATGAATAATCTAAATTATATTTATAAAATGAAAAATAAGATAAAATTATAGAGATTAAAATTATAAGATTTCAATAATGTTATAAAACATTAAAAAAGAAAAGAATTAATAAATAGTAGAAATAAAAAATTATTAAAATTATAATATAGAAATTCAAAAATTTAAGACAAAAGACAAAAGTATACTTGAAAAATTATTAAAATTAAAATATAGAAATTTAAAAATTTTAAGTGAAAAGACATAAAATATACATAAAAAATTATTAAAATTAAACTATTTAAATATATAATAATATTATTACAAATAAAATTAGAATATATAAAATAAAAATCAGTTAAGGGTATGATTATCTATTACTTTTTAGATAAAATCAGTTACAAGATTACGTATAACTTTATATTAAATGTGAATTTTGTAAATTCAACCGTTAAATTAAAAATCTTTTACTACTAAATAATTTAAAAATTTAAAGAATAAAATATTATAAATATTATTTAAATAAATTATTAAAAATATAAAATATAAAATAAAATTATAATTATAAATGTACCGGTACCCTCTCAAATAATATGGGTACCGTAGAAATTCTCAACCTAGAATCCAAAACAAAATTGGGGACTCAGAACCACATCTTCTTAAAAAAAATTATTACAAAAAAAATATAAATGTAAATATGTTTTTAATTATTTAAATTTAAAATAATTTTTTTTCGTCAAATTTAAAATTGTATTTTTTTAGTTTCTATAAATTTTAAAAATCTTATTTAGTTCTTCAAGTCATCAATAACATATCTTAAAGTAATAAATTGAAACAGTTATACTACATTAGTTAGGTTTAATATTATGTTTTTATCATCAGAAACATTAGTAGGTAGATTTTATGCAATAATATTTGATGGATTCATTAATAATACAAGAACTAAAATAAGAGTTTTTGAAATTATAGAGATTAAAAATACTAATTTTAAATTTGAGAAGCTAAAAATAAATTTAACTTAAATTTAAAATATTAAAAACATATTTAAGCAAAATATATATATATATATATATATAGATAGAACTCAATTTCCTCCACATTATGTGCTAAGAATGAACTATTCCATGACAATGGACGAGAGGTAATAAGATTTTGAAACATGAACGGATCATCTTGAAACAATTATAGAAAAAAAAAGAGGAATTTGACCCTAACCACGATCTATCGGTAAAACCAAAGTTATCAAAAGAAAAGAATAACTCTAATTGTGATTTGTTGGTAGAACTAACACTATAAAGTTCAACATTAGTATTAACACACTCAAAAAGGATAAAGGACTTCTAGAATTTTTTTGAGAATCCCGAGACATTAGTGATTTCTCCATAGTGTTTTACATACTTCTAAGAATGTTTTACAAACAAAGAAATAGGATTTCAAATAACAATGTTTTAGAATTTTTTCCTCCAACAAAAAGCTTACGCATCTTGTAACCTATATTGTTGCCATTTAAAACAACTAGAGCAAACTTCAACCTAGGACACCAACGATGGCCCTATGCATGTAGCAACTGCATTTTGACATTTTCATTGGAAAACGAAGTGGTGTGGTGGACAATCTCGACCCACGAAGGCATGCATTTGTTGGGTAACGTAACTGTCGAAGGAGGGAATGAGTTAAAGTTAAGACCTTCAGCCTTCAAGTCCAAAAGACGCTCTTTCATCAAAGGGCATATCAAAGATTTAAAATAGTATTAAATCATTTATGTGCCTGATAACATCCTGAATTGTCAAAAGAAAAAATAAAATTTAAAATACAATGATGATTAATTGAATCTTTGATTCATAAGAGACAAAATTCATTAATGTTGTGTCATTACACTTTATTATAGTAAAATTAATTTAAAATCAATCAAATATAATTGTTGAATTAGAGTTTGTTGCTCTAAAAATGCTTGATTGTGAAGTTTAGTGATTGAAAACCTCTCGGCAAATATATTGTTAAAAATATAAAATAAAAAAAGATTGTTATATAACAATTGCTTAAAAAGATTAAAAATTATTATACGTAATTAATGATGGATTTGGTCTATCCTTTGACTTTAAATTCCTAAGGAATATATTATGGTTAAAACCCTAATTTGATTCCTTATAATATTTTTAAGTTTCAATTTAGTCTCACTTTAATTTTTTGTTTCAATTTAATCCCTAATAATTTAAATTACTGTAATGTCGGACCTTCCGTCCAAATTTCTTAAACGGAGTTAACTGTTGGTCACGTGGATACCACGTAGATGCACAAGTGGATGCCAAATTTCTTTAATGCATCTAGAGCCAGAATGGCCCGTTCTGAAACCAAGACGGCCCGTTCTACTACACTCGTGATGTGTTAATTTTGCATCAGGAACGGGCCGTTCCAGATGCATTAGTTAACACACAACGAGTGCAGCAAAACGGGACGTTTTGAAACCAGAATGGGTCCTTCTGAAACCAGAACGGACCGTTCTGGATTCAGAACGGGTCGTTCCAGATGCAAAATTAACACACAATGGGTGCATCTGGAACGGGTCGTTCTAGTTTCAGAATGGGTCGTTCTAGTTTCAGAAAGGGTCGTTCTGGTTCCATATGCATTATAGAAATTAGGCATCCACCTATGCATCCATGTGGCCAACAGTTAACTCCGTTTAAGAAATTTAGACGGAAGGTTCGACATTGCAGTAATTTAAATTATTAGGGACCAAATTAAAACCAAAAATTAAAGTGGGACTAAATTGAAACATTAAAATATTATAAGGACCAAATTAGGTATTTAACCAATATATTATTTATGAAGCATCATGAGTTGTTTATAAATATTGAGAGGAAAGATATTTTATTAAAGTCACTTGAAACAACAATGATGATAACTCATCCATTGTAATTGGAGATCCCATAAAGAAGGTTCAATGAGAAAAATAAGTCATTTTTTACTTTTGTTTGCACTAAAATTGGTTTTAATCAATTTT